TTCTTTCCTTGAGAAGATTTGTTTAATTTCAGTTTACTTTGTAAATCGATCTTGGAAAACAATATATTTCCTTAAACCTATTTTGTATTTTCTCTTTCTTTAAGTTATGTGGTACGGTTTAACTTGATATAGAGTTTTAAAAAAAAGTAAATTTTTAAAATTTGTGATCTAAATAAGTTAAATATTTGTGTGACTATAATATTTCATTAAAGATAAAATAGGTATTGTAAAGTTAAATCATTATTAAATATAAAATATATCATTCTTTTCTGTACTAATTAAAAAGAAAAGTGAGTAATATCAATTTTGACCGAAGGAATAGTAATTTTTGCTAATCTTTTCAATTATATCTCTCACAAGATTTGTGTTCTTAGTATATACTTTTTCCTAAAATTACATTTCCTTCAATTTATTTATCTGATTTTTACTTGACATAAAAAAAATTTAAAAAAATATTTTTAGAAATTTATGGTCTTAAGATAAAGATATGTACAATGCATGAAATATCCTTTAATTTTATAGTTTTAAACATGTCATATGAAAAGTTAAAATTAAAGAATTGTCCAAAAGCAAATCAGAATAGACTAAAAAAAAAGTAAAACAAACAAATTAAAATAGAAGTACAAAATTTCAGTAGTTTATTCAATTTTGATATCTCTTTCCTTCCCTAAAATGAATTACTCGTATTCTTGTGTTTATTTATTTGCTCTTCTTATGGCAGGTTTTTTGGTGTGCAATTATGAGTTTTTTATTTATTTATATAGCTTTAATCTTAATTAGTTATCTCGATTTGAATCTGTTCACATTTGTCTTTTTGAAAATGGTCAGTTTTCTAGCTTGATTTCTCTGAACGTGGACTTTTTTTTTTCGAGAAATATTAAATTCCATAAAATATGAACCTTTAATATTAGCTCTTATTTAAGTAAATAACTCAAGATTATTAATTTCAAAATCCTTTGATAAATAGTGAAAGAATATGAGAAGTATTGAAATACATGTGAACTTGATGTAAATTATTAGTTTCTTCTTTGAATCAGTGGCGGAACTAGAATTTTTAATAAGGAGGTTCAAAATCTGAGAAGTAAACACATGAACTTGTGGAAGAGGGTTCAACATCTAATATATATACCTAAAAAATAATTTTAACCATGTCTAAATAATAATATTTTTCGGTGAGTATATGTTGCATGTGCCCCTGCTTTGAACTAATGACAGCTTCAAAAACAACTCTATACTTGACAACTAAATTTGATACACATCCGATCTGCCACATAACATAGCAAGTGGTCTCAAACTTTTGTAGGAGCACAAAGGTCTTCATAAAAATCGAGAGAGATGTTGAAAACATTCCTAAACTTGACAAGAATTTAGGGTGTATTTAACTCATGTTACAAAACTATCAAGGGTGTTTTAAGTTTAATTAGTCAAATAAAAAAATATTTTTAAAACTGTCAATAATTTAAAAATAAAATTAATAATCCACGCCGAATTTAAGAGTGTTTCAAATAATTCACTTAGGAAAGAATGGGTGGACTAGCAATTAAGAAGTAATAGTTGGACCCATGTGAATGTCAACAACCCAACATGTTGCTTAATTTTGATCTCTCGTGCCCTAAATAATCCATTTCTTAATCATTAATTCTTCCACTAACATTATGTTAGCAATAATAATAATTTTTAAAATAACAAAGAAAAAAATATCAACATGATAAAAGTGAAGAGAAATTAATAATCAGGATTGACTAAAAGTCTTTCTAATTTGTTGGTTACACCTCATCAGTCCTTGATTTCACTTTATTAGTCAACAATCAACATGTAAGTGGAATGCTCATTACATTATTAATGCATGGGAAAAAAAAATAAAAAAAAATAATGATAACAGTGGGAGAAAAAGTTTTGAAAACAATATGAACGCTAGAAAAAGATTGCAAAATTTCGAATATTATTCTGTGATTGGCAACTGTGTGGCACATTATTTTAAGTTTTTAACAAAAAGGTGAGTTTTAAAAGATAAAGAAGAGTAAATTTTATTTAAAGTATGACGAAGGAAATTTTTAAGCCTTGGTCTAATGTGGAAGGATAAATAAATTTGAACTTTTTTATACATGGAATATCCCCACATCAAGACTTTGATTGGCATTAAGCTCGGAATGAATGAAATACTGATCTTCTTATAAGTTTTGGATTAACACTTTTTTCTTTCAAATAAACTTTTTGAGTGAGTTAGATTCAAAATCTAACTTGAAATAGCATCAAAGTCAGACCAGACAGAAATTGGAAAATAACTATAGGGGTGGAAATATCTCTGATACATGAATGTGCATGCACGGGACTGAAACAGTAAATTTTGGATAAGAATATACATACGGATCCAAGGGTGAAACGAGCCTAGTGGTAATAATGAATGAAATGTCTCACATTAGTGAATGAATTAAATCGTGAGCTCCTTATAGGATTTGAATAATCTTCCTATATTTGACTGACTTCATATATTACTAACCAAAGTTGGATGATATTAGAAAGCTAATTTGTATTAGTCAAGTTATCTTCATTGGCATCCGTCGTAAACCGAATTGATTCCATCACAGTGACCATTCCTATAGTTACAAAGTAATGTTAGTTTTTCTTGTAAGAATTCTTGAAGAAAATAAGATTTATTAGGCACTTACAAAATGAATTAAAAAAATTAGACATTTTAATTTTTTTTATATAAAAATATGTTTTTAATAAAAAGAACATAAAACAAAAATAATAATGATAAATTACCTACAAAATCAATTCTCCAAATTTTTCATAACGGTAGTACAATTATACATCATTCAAAGAAAACGTAATCCTATTTTTATGATTCTCTGTCCTATCTCCTCTAAATTTTTTTAAAGAAGAAATAAAAAGAAGGCCAATATATGCCAGGAATTAGGTAAATGTATTAAATTCTCACAGAATCAATATAAGTAAGGGATATTCTTTTTGTCTCAATCTTAATTACAGTAAAACTTTAATATAATCATTTTAAAAATGAAACACACTTAACAAACTTATACAAGTCTACCCCTCCGTTTAATTTTATGTGTCTTAATGACAGAGAACAAAGTTAATCAAGAAAAACTTTTGAAATTATGAAAATAAATTAAAGATAGTGTTAATATGTCAAAATATCTTTTAAATCATGAGATTTTGATTATGTAAAATGTCAAAAATTAATAGTAGTTATAAAGTGTAAAATGTAATATTTTAAATAAACTAATTACAAATAAGACGCAAAAATAATTGGATAGGTTGAGAGGAATTAGATTGTTATTAAAAGTAAAATCCACCGTCAAGTGGCTAATTTGGAACGTTTTCACGCTATATTGAATAAAATTTTACAGATCTAGCACATGATATCTTTAGCTGAAATTAAGAGAACAATTATTTTTAAATTGAAATATTCTTTTGTAATTTTTACGAAAGCATTGCACATGCAAAATAAAATTATAGTCAAACATAGAGTGATATAGTATATAAGTATTATTTTTCCATAATATATTTATTAAGTTTTCATTAAAATATGTGGCCGTAAGGAGCGTTTATAATGTTAACAGCCTATAAAAAACGGAGTTTAAATACTACTAACTCAAGTTGGGTAAAGCTTTACGCAATTAGGTTACTTGTAAAATTTTACTATACAAAAATAGGCATACACCCCTGAAAAGAGATTATATGTTAAAGATAATTAAGGTAAAAATTAAATAGTCAATCTATCTTTTAAATTTTATTAAGAGTGGTGTATATAAAAAAATATAACAAATATTTTGAGATCGAAGAATATAATGTATCAAAATATCTTTTTTAATCTTATAATTTTAAATATATCACATGAAATATTAATATTTAAAATATACTCAAATTTAAAAAGAATATTTCAAAATAGATTAATCAAAAAAAGACACACAAATTAAAAGATGAGAGGGATTATTATAAACACATAGTAGCTTTTATTCGATTATATATTTTGAAGATGAGATTTTGAGTATTAAATTTTTGAAATTGTATTTAAATATGTATTGCACTTGAATTCTTAAAATTTTATCAGTGGAAGTCAAATTTCTATCAAAAATCAACATTTAAAAATATTTAAAAAAACTTTCCTTCGAAATGACTTAATTGGTTTGGAGGATATACGAATTAAATTGATCCATCTTAATAGCTTTTCAAAAGTGTTCATCCCAAGAATAAAAATAGTAACAAAAAAATTATAATTCCTCACAAAATGCTCACCCGAAGAATCTCTATTTTTTTTTAGGGCGAAATCTAGCTAGCTAACTAGCTGTTGTTGTTTATAAATACGATTACTTGAAAATACTACTACTGAAAAGTGACTTTTTCTTGCTCTGTTTCTACTTCTACGTCTACTTTCTACTCTGTGCACTACTAATAGATAATCTCTGAGTCCTTTTTTTGCTGTTTTTAAGGTCTCTTTCGCCGTCTTTCTGATTCGGCCGCGCCCCTGCCGCCCTGCTAATATCTGTATCTTCTCTGATTATAAATATAAAATCAACTGCATTTAAGTCGACTTCACAATTAGTTGTAGTTTCAGAAATAATATTTATTTTGTTGCTGCAATTATTATTCAGCTACATTTATAGTATCTGTCATATTCTTGAAATGGAGCAATCTTCGAAACTTGTTTTGTTATCTCTGCTTCACTAGTGGGTTTTTTTTTCCTTCTTTCTCTCTTGCTCTGTTTTTTTCAGTAGTGCTCTGTTTTTTGCTTTCACTTCGAGGACACAAAACATACAGAATAATAGCAAAGGAGGAGTCTTTTTTTTTTGCTTCAATAGAGATCTATCTGAGTTTCAAGAAAGAGATATCTCAAAATCAAGGTATTTCAAGTAAAAATTTTGGGATCTGGGAAATTCTTGGAAATTAGTTTTATTTTTGGGTTTGGGGAAGAATCTTCAATGTTGGAGATAGTATATATTTTTTTGGGTCTCATTTTGTGTTTTTTTTGTGTGTTTTTGCAGATCTGCTGAAATTTAGACCTCTTCTCTTCAAAATTAAAATGTATGCTGAGAAGCAAGCAGAGGAAGCTATTGTTTCAAACTTCAATGGAACTGATCGTGATGGGGAGGAAGTTGAGAAATTAGGTGAAGAAGATCAGTCTATTTTCAGTGTCAAAAGCCTCCTCTGGCATGGTGGCTCTGTTTGGGATGCTTGGTTCAGCTGTGCTTCTAATCAAGTACTTTTAAATCTTTTACTACATTTCTTTTTCTTTTAATAGATCATATTTTGTATTGCTTTTGGAAACAATCTTTCTAATCTTCGAGTTGTGGTAATTTCCGCGTACCCATGGAGTGGGATTACACTGAATATATTGTTGTGTGGTTGCACTGTCATATTTTGTACTGTATTTTCTGATTCATTTATTTTAACAGGTTGCTCAAGTGCTGTTAACATTGCCATATTCATTTTCTCAACTTGGTATGGTATCTGGCATAGTGTTTCAAGTGTTCTATGGTCTTGTTGGGAGCTGGACTGCATACCTCATCAGTGTTCTCTACATAGAGTACAGAAGCAGAAAAGAGAAAGAAGGTGTCAACTTCAAAAATCATGTCATTCAGGTATACCAATGAGAACGACAAAAAGTTGAATTTTAGTAGTATATTATAGTAAACATGAGTACATCTTTTATTGAAAAATTATTCTAGTATATATCTAGGTCGATGATCATTTTTCATAGGTATATATTAACTCTTGAAATTTTTTGACTTCGCCACTGTTAGTTCTACCGAACCGCCACATAGTTCAACTTTTAATATTTTCATTATTTTTTAAAAAAATAGTACTTTTTCAGAATCTTAAGACTTGCAAATAGATTTATTAATGTTTACGCTGTATCTGACTTTTTTTGTTTCAACTGGTAGTGGTTTGAAGTGCTTGATGGACTATTGGGTCCTTACTGGAAAGCAGCAGGCCTTGCCTTCAACTGTACGTTCCTTCTGTTTGGATCTGTCATACAACTAATTGCTTGCGCAAGGTACGGACCCATTACTCCCTTCTTCATTTAAACCGTAGTTTAAATACTTCTTAATTAAAAATAATACTCTTCACATATGTCTAATTTACTTCAAAGAGACACATATAATAGTGAGAGTTAGCTGGTATTGTTAAAAACTTACTCTTTACATTTGTCTAATTACTTCAATAGATATATATACTAGTGAGAGTTATGAAGTAATAGTTGATAATGTATGTGCAAATTGACTTAAGCTAAGTCCAAGCTATATGAGGGGTAACTGGTAAAGTTGTTGCTACGTGATAAAGAGATTAAAAATTTGATGTGTGAAAACCTTCCTTTGTGTTAATTTAGAATTAATTTGTTTACCATAGACCCTTGTGGGCTATTTCATGAATAATTTTGAAAATAGACGAATGTCGCACATGAGTGAATGTCAGGATTTCACTCTGAGCTTCACAATATGAATAACTAGCCACACAAATTAATTGAAAGGGATTTAACATTTATTATATGTACATAAAAAATAATTTTAGCCTTTATAAATAATATAATTTTTCGTCGAAGGATTTGAATGAAACCTTTGCTCCGCCTTTGTTGTGCGTAGCGACTAGCTAGAGCTTAGTGCAATTGGGAAGCAATTGTGCCAAAAATTGTGAGTTAATTGTGATCACTTGATCTTGATTATTAATTTGATGAATTTTTTTAATTTGGAACAATAACATATATTACATCAATGACCATTTAGACAAGAGGACATGGACATACATATTTGGAGCTTGCTGTGCCACCACAGTTTTCATTCCTTCCTTCCATAACTATAGGATTTGGTCTTTTCTTGGCCTTGGGATGACCACTTATACAGCATGGTACTTAACTATTGCTGCTGTCATTCATGGCCAGGTAAATAGTAATTAATATAATTATTTCCTAAATAATATCATCCATCATTCATTACTCTATTATACATTCAAATTTATTTTTGCAATTTTTATAAATGATGATGGAGGGGTCATTTATTATGTGTCATTATAGGTTGAAAATGTACAACACACTGCTCCAGCAAAGCTTGTGCTGTATTTTACTGGTGCCACCAATATTCTTTACACCTTTGGTGGACATGCTGTTACTGTGTAAGCTCTCATTTATTTTTTACTCATTTGTAAATGAATGTTTATAGAATGAGTATATATACTATGGTTAACATAAAAAGTAGGGATAATTATTGCCTTAAAACACTTTAGTCGACTAACCCTTTATAAAATACGGAGTAGTGTGTATACTTTATACTAAACATATATATATATATATGCTTATAGTGTATACATGGTATACATTTTGACTATATTGGTAAATTAGTTGGCGGAATGGTATATATTCATGAGTTTCCCTATAAAGTTCTCATCACAACAAAAGAGACATTTAGTGGCAATATATTTTCCTTTTAGGGGCAATACTTATTGTCGTAAAAATATTCAGCGACAATTGAGTTAATACAATTGTATCCATTTTCAGAGTCGCTAAATCATGTAACGACATTTATATAGTGTGTTGGTTTAAAATTCATATTATATTATTGTCGACTTATCGTTAAATAATTGCTGCAAAATTGTTTTTTTTGTTGTTGTACTTTCTTGTCAATATCAATATATGTTAAATTCATACGAGACAACTTAGTGTTATAGTGCAGAAGAATCCAATGCCAATATTCTCCAACGTACTTGCAATCACTTTAAATAATTACTTGAGAGAACATATCATTATATTCCATCTTCAGTGGCTACTTTACCCCCAAGTGGCCAAGTCAATGAATACAACACTTTCAATTTTCATGCCTTGAAAAAGTACATACTCTGAAAAGTATTTGAGCTTTAAATTGAAAAAATAAATAAATATTCATTCTAAAGCTGATTATATAGAAATAATTACTTCGTATCTTAAAAAGCTAGATGTCAGCCCATTCTATTGAGTCGTCCATGTCCATATTCTAATATTAGGACTTCTCACACTCACAATATCATTACAGGGAAATTATGCATGCAATGTGGAAACCCCAGAAGTTCAAGTACATTTACCTAATAGCCACACTCTACGTTTTCACCCTAACTATTCCATCAGCTTCAGCAGTCTACTGGGCATTCGGAGATCAACTTCTTAACCATAGTAACGCATTTTCACTTCTTCCAAAAGACAGATGGCGCGATGCTGCAGTTATATTGATGCTAATACACCAGTTTATCACGTTTGGATTCGCGTGTACGCCGTTGTACTTTGTGTGGGAGAAGGTTATAGGGATGCATGACACTAAAAGCATATGCTTAAGGGCACTTGTTAGGTTGCCTGTGGTGATACCCATATGGTTTTTGGCTATTATATTCCCATTCTTTGGGCCTATTAACTCTGCTGTTGGGGCTCTTTTGGTTAGTTTCACTGTCTACATCATTCCAGCTCTTGCTCATATGCTCACTTATAGAACAACCTCTGCTCGACAGGTAATGCATTTATTTCTATGCAGCTTCCAAAAATTTACTCGATTATACTTTATTTGCATATATACAGTTGTCAAATCTTTCTATAACAATAATCCAGTGGAATCGATCTTTTATGTTACGTATAACATCATTTTGCTATATCAACCAACACCTATCCAAACTAACGATTATATAGAGGTTTGACCATGTTTACAATTCCTTTTAGATCTCCTTGTAACAAAGAATATTTTATTTGTCTTGACATATATATTTATTGAATTAGGAAGAGAATTATTTGTATCTCACACAACTGTCAACCCAAATTCTTACTTGTAAAACAAATACAACCCTCACGTGTTTTTACTATCAAATCATCTAAAAGATAGAGTAATTGATTTTCACAATGTAAATTTATTTATTTTATGTATTAAATGTAATTTGATATACCTTAAAACAAATTATCCATTTTCATTTCTATCCTGTGACCAATCCATTAGTCTATAAAATATTTGTCCCTCTTTTAAGAAATATTATTGTATAAATATTTTTTATGTTGTTAGTATATAAAATTAAACCTACTCACTTTATTTGAATAAAATTTGCAGAATGCAACAGAAAAGCCACCATCCTTCATGCCAAGTTGGACTGTCATGTATGTTATTAACATTTTTATAGTAGGCTGGGTTTTGGTTGTTGGGTTTGGGTTTGGTGGATGGGCCAGTATGAGCAATTTCATCAAACAAGTTGATACATTTGGCCTTTTTGCAAAATGTTACCAATGTAAACCTCCGGTGGGCCAGCCACCACATCCGACACCTCAGGCCACCGTGCACAACTAGGTACTGACTTGGATCCACCACGCCAATATGTTGGAGAAGTCAACGATCGAACTGTTCTTCAAATATTTTTGCATGTAACCCAAAACGTGTTAGTGTGTTAATCTTCATTTTCTTTTGTTCGTGTTTCTCCTTTTTGTTCTCATATTAGATATGATTATTAACGTGTCGAATTGCTGACTAATTGGCTATCAAAGGATTAGCTAATTATTTGAATCAACATATGCTAATGTTAATTAATTCTTTTGTCCAACTTTTTGGTTGTTAGTAAATACTATATTGTCACATCTATTATAATTTTTCTATGGTTATTATTAGTTTATTACCATTTGATAAGATAAACAAATTACTAGAAATATATACTATGAGTGTGTTTGGACCGAAGGAAAATGTTTAAGTAGGAAATTATGTAAATTTTTAACTATTCCTTTTATTCGGTATCTTTACCTATTATCCTAATAGTGTTGGGTTTTTGAGATCATTTCGATGGTCTATGTTGAGGGATATATCTATCTAATCTAATTGATTATGTATAATAGTCTGCGGTAGTAATGGACGTGGGGTTAGTAATGAATATTTTGGTGATATGACTTGGTCCCGATTGGAAAATCGATCCATTTTTAAGTTCAAACGAGCCCTAGAGCAGGTAAATCCTCATTTTGTCGATTTTCGTGTGCAATAGTCCATAGATTTTTGGTGATTCGGAATTTCGGTGTGTTTCTGGCCGAAAATTTTCATGGACGTCCGTTAAAACCTTAGCAATTGAGCTAGTTGGTCCTGACCGGCAAATTGGCCCATTTTCAAGTTCAAACGAACTTAGAGCAAGTAATCCCTCATTTTGTCGATTTTCGTTTGTTATAGTTCATAAATTTTTGGTAATCCGGAATTTCGATGTGTTTTTGGCCAAAATCTTAATGGACGTTCGTTAAGACCTTAGCAATGGAGGCAATTGGCCTTAACGGCCAAAATGGCCCATTTTCAAAGTCAAACGAGCCTCGGATCAGGTAAATCTCCCATTTTGTCGATTTTCGTGTGCTATAGTTCACCAATTTATTTGGTGATCCAAAATTCCGACGTCTATTTTGCCGAAAATTTTCATGGTCGTCCGTTAAGACCTTAGCTATGGAGCCAATTGACCTTGATGGTCAAATGAAACATTTTCAAGGTCAAACGAGCCCAGAGCAGGTAAACATCCCATTTTGCCGATTTTTCTGTGCTATAGTTCACCATCTTTTTTGGTGATCCAAAATTTCGACGTCATTTTTGCCGAAATTTTTCATCGACATCCGTTAAGACCTTAGCTATGGAGACAGTTCTCCCTAACGGCCAAAATGCCCTATTTTCAAGGTAAAACGAGCCCCAAAGAAGGTAAACCCCCAATTTAGCCGATTTTCGTGTGCTATAGTTCACCATATTTATTGGTGATCCAGAATTCTGATGTCATTTTTGCCGAAAATTTTCATGGGCTTTTGTTAAGATCTTAGCTATGGAGCCAGTTGGCCCTGACGGCAAATATGGCTCATTTTCAAGGTCAAACGAGCTCCAGAACAGGTAAACCCCCCCTCCCCCCATTTTGTCAATTTTCGTGTGCTATAGTTCACCATCTTTTTTGGTGATCAAGAATTCCGACGTCATTTTTGCCAAAATTTTTCATAGACTTCCGTTAAGACCTTAACTTTGGAGCCAACGACCCATTTTCAAGGTCAAACGATTCCCGGAGCAGGTAAACCCCCAATTTTACAGATTTTTGTGTGTTATGTTCACCATCTTTTTTGTTGATCCAGAATTCCGACGTCATTTGTGCTGAAATTTATCATAGACGTTCGTTAAGACCTTAGCTATGGAGCCAATTGACCCTGACGGCCAAAACGACCTATTTTCAAGGTCAAACGAACCCCGGAGCAGGTAAACCCCCATTTTACCGATTTTTGTGTGCTATATTTCACCATCTTTTTCTGATCCAGAATTCTGATGTCATTTTTGCTGAAATATTACTTGGACGTTCGTTAAGACCTTAGCTATGGAGTCAGTTGGCCCTGACGGCCAAAATGACTCATTTGCAAGGTCAAAGGATCCCCGATGCAGGTAAATCTCCTATTTTATCGATTTTCTTGTGATATAGTTCACCATCTTCTTTGGTGATTCGGAATTTCGTCTTCATTTTTGCCGAAATTTTTCGTGGACGTCCGTTAAGACCTTAGATATGAAGCCAATTGGCCTTGAGGGCTAAAACAGCTCATTTTCAAGGTCAAACGATCCCTAAAGTAGGTAAAGCCCCCATTTTGCCTATTTTCGTGTGCTATAGTCCATGGATTTTTGGTGATCCAGAATTCTGACGTCACGTTTGCCAAATCTTTTCATAGACGTCCGTTAAGACCTTAGCTATGGAACGAGTTGACCCTAATGGTGAAAACGACCCATTGTCAAGGTCAAACGAGCCCCGAAGCAGGTAAACCCCCCATTTTGCCGATTTTCGTCTGCTATAGTTCACCATCTTTTTTGGTGATTCGGAACTCTGATGTTTTTTTTGCCAAAATTTTTCATGGACATCCGTTAATATCTTAGCTATGGAGCCAGTTGGCCTTGACAGTTAAAACGTCCCATTTTCAAGGTCAAATGAGCCTCGGAGAAGGTCAGCCCCACATTTTGCCTATTTTCGTGTGCTATATCTAACTTCTGAATTGCTTTATTATAGCAAAGATGCAGGTTACTAAAAGGAGTAAAAGTACAGGTAAACGAGTAGATGTGGTTGCCCAAGAAGGGTCCAACCAACCACCACCTAATCAAGTTGTTCAAAGTGAGGCTCAAGATGAGTTTCTATCATAGACTTCCCCAACCCCTCCATCTCCAAAAGATCTAAGGAGGGAAGCTACACCTCAAGAACCCCTATTAATGCTAGCGAGCAAGATTTAAAGAATGCAGTCCAATTATTGACTCGTATAGTTGCTGGCCATGGCCAAAGGCAAGAAAGTCCAGTTGCATGTACTAGTGGTGTAGATAGAGCAGCGGACACACAAATACGTGATTTCTTTAATTTGGACCCTCAATCATTCACCGGGTCAGATCCTAATGAAGATCCACAAGACTTTATAGACCAGATTCAACGCAGTTTGGAAGTTATGCATGTGAGTGGTAAATAAGCACTCGAGCTAGAGCATATAGATTAAAATGTGTGGCTATATTGTGGTGTGAAGCTTGGAAGCAATCTAGGGGGACAAATGCACCTTCAGCTACACGAAAAAAGTTCAAAAAGGCATTCCTTGACCATTACCTGCCATTGGAGATCCGAGAAGCCCGTGCAAATCAGTTCTTAAATCTCTACCAAGGAAGTATGAGCGTGAGAGAGTACAGTTTTAAATTTAGTTCCTTGGACAAGTATGCTCCTAATGTAGTAGCTATTATGGAGGGTAGAGTTCATCGATTTGTGGATAGATTAGATTCATATCTTGTTAGAGATTGTACCATTGCTTCGTTGAATAAAGATATGGATATAGAAAGGATGCAAGCTTTTGCGCAAAAGTTGGAGGATCAAAGGCAAAGAAGAAGGACACAAGAGTCAGAAACAGGGCATTCAGAGAGGGCCAGATCCATGGGGCAGTTTACACCATCCCAAGGTGAGTTTAGGCCTCGGTTCTTTAACAGATCGTCTAGGCCATCATATTCCTACTCTACAGCTAGTGCCCCACCTCAGTTTTAAGAGTTTAGGGGAAATCAGTTTGGGCAAAGAGGTGAAAGCCAAGGTTCACGAGCATCGGGGTACCAAGAGCAAGGAAGTATGAGCCAATCAAGACCTCATCGACAGTCTTGTAAACAATGTGGAAGAAATCATTTAGATGCATGTCAGTTTGGGACAAATGTTTGTTTTTGGTGTGGTACATCGAGTCATATGATGAGAAATTTCCCTCATAGGGGTGTGGGCGGTGTGGCACAACCTACTAGATCAGTTGTTGCATCATCATCATCAACACCTTCTTTAGGTAGGGGACTACAGATGCCTACAGGTCGTGGTAGTGGAGCGAGGGGAGCAACTAGTTCTAGTGGAGTTTAGAATCGCACATATGGTCTAGGGGATCAACAAAATTTGGAAGCTTCATCGAATGTGGTTACAAGTACATTGTCCATCTTTTCACATATTGTATATGCACTAATTGATCCAGGATCTACATTGTCATATGTTACTCCATTGATTGCTGGAAAGTTCAAAAGAACTCCAGAATTATTAGTGAAGCCATTTTAAGTGTCTACACCGATTGGTGAGTCTATTATAGCTAGAAGGGTTTATCGTTATTGCATTGTAACTGTTTGTGATCATGATACATTGGCTGACCTTGTTGAGCTAGAAATGGTAGATTTTGATGTTATAATGGGTATGGATTGGTTTGTTTCTTGTTATTCCATGGTAGATTGTCGAACTAAGATGGTGTGTTTCCATTTTCCAAAAGAGGCAATCCTTGAATGAAAAGGTAATATTGGGGTACCAAGAGGTAAGTTTATTTCGTACCTTCAGGCAAAAAAGATGATGTCCAAAGGATACATATGCCATTTAGTGAGGGTGAAAAATATAGATGCGGAGTCACCAACCCTTCAATCTATTCCAGTGGTAAATGAATTTCCCGATGTATTTCCTGAAGATCTTCCAGCTTTGCCTCTAGAATGAGAAGTAAAGTTTGGTATTGATGTGATTCCAGATACTCAACTTATATCCATCCCTCCATATAGAATGGCCCTGACGAAATTACGAGAGTTGAAGGAGCAATTGAAAGACTTGTTAGAAAAGGGATTCATAAGGCCTGGTATGTCCCCATGGGGAGCACCAGTTTTATTTGTACGTAAGAAAGATGGCTCGTTGAGAATGTGTATTGATTACCGACAATTGAATAAAGTAACAATGAAGAACAAATATCCCATTCCTAGAAGTGATGATATGTTTAATCAGCTACAAGGTGCTAAGTGTTTTTCAAAGATCAACTTGAGGTCTATCACCAAGTAAGGGTCAAAGACAAAGATATTTCCAAGACAGCTTTCCAGACACGGTATGGTCATTTTGAGTTTTTAGTCATGTCATTTGGGCTAACAAATGCACTAGCAGCTTTATGGATTTTATGAATAGGGTGTTCAAGCCATTTCTAGATGTGTTCGTGATAGTATTCATAGATGACATTTTGGTGTATTCAAGATCGGAAGAGGACCATGCTAATCATTTGCGGCAGGTTTTACAAATTCTTCGTGATCGTAAGTTGTATGTGAAGTTCTCTAAATGTGAGTTTTGATTGAAATCTATGGCATTCTT